TAGTTCTGCGGGCGCTCACGCCTGTGTGTCCTGTTATTTGGCCAACTTGTTGAAGCCAGTCTGTCAAAGTCCAATTTCTCGTTAGACAACTTGTAAAATAGGCCACTTTGTCGCAGGCCAATTTGCAGATCCCAACTCGTCGAAGACCAGTTTTGTTTTGTAGGCTTCAGAGGAGTCAAGAGGAACCCCTTATTATTGTCCTTTGTTGCTTTACATGTTTTTGCCCTCAATGTTATTTTGTTCCCTTTGCATGTCCAAGTACAAGGCGCTATTAGGAGAATGATGAAATGCGAACGGCGGAATATGTGGTTTTCGATACACACTGCGTCGCCTGGCAGCTCTCTGGGAACTCGTTAAAATATGCGTTGGGAGTGAGGGTACGACTCCTACCAGCCCTATTATCTACTGAGAAGTGCTAGACCAGGGGTGCACAACTAAAAAATTATATGGGCCAAAATTATGTTTATTAAAAACTGCAGGCCACACCTAGAGCAATGTGTTGTACATTTTGGCTGCGGTTATGATTCCGATATCAGGTGTCATCGCACTCGTTTCTGTCTTTAGCACATCTCGCAATGTCATGGCCGTCACGACAGATCGAAGGCGGTTCTTGTTCAGAGTGGTCAGTCGTTAGCGTGCCCGCTGTAGCAAGCGAGTGGTTCGGGCAGTTGGAGGCCCGATGATACGAGTACATTCAAGATTCGAGAGCCGCTGCCTGCCCATGACTAATGAGACTGCAAAATCCACGTAGCTGCAACTCTCATGTTGATTATTTGTCTGTGTGCGTAATGTACTACATTCTTCCCGAGTGCGTCAACTGTTGATCACCCGGTTTTGTTTTTCTGCGCATAACCAACATGCCCAGGCACTGCTGTCTGTTGTGAAAGTGGTCATGAATGACTATGCGAATGGTCGTCAATGTTGCCATTTGTCAAAGGGTCGACTAACCATCATCTGAGGATAATCTTGGTTCGTGTCTCTGTGCATCACCAGTATCACTAAAACAGTGCTGTCTATCCTGGAATTGGTTGTAAACGAAGACGCGGCTGGTCACTCAGGTCTTCCTGTGTTTCACAGCAAGATGACATGTGCTCCCTAGTTGCTATTCTATTTCAGATTTTAATGTTTTAGGGAACCGTTCGTGCCACTGTGGTACAATCGATCGACCTACGGATAGTTACGTTTTGACGCTGATCTAAACCGTAATTTCGATCATACTATGGCCAATATCGCTGTCGTCTGCATGCAATGCCGTGCTAGCCAAACTTTGGGTGGTTCCGAAAAAGAGGGCTGAACAGCATTGAAATATTGCGGAAAGGAGACGTGTGCTTGTTATCAAACAGTGGCGTTTGTTAGTGGTCGGAGGTCGAGACTCCTACAGCATGTCGCATGTTGCGCCAGCCTTGTCAGGGCTCCCAAGGCAGCGGGAGGCTATCGACTGCGCGTTGACTTAACCAAGATGAACCAGGTCATTCTCTAAGAACAGGACATGATGCCGACCGTCGATCAGGCGTTTGGGTTGCCCGGAAGCCTTCCCGTCGTCTCGAAAAGGGCTGCAATGTCTGGGTTTAACCAGGTACGCCTTTCCGAAAGCTGCCAGGTGTACATGATGTTCAATACACCCATCGGGCGATTCTCTTATCGCTGCCTGCCCTTCGGAATTGTGTCCGCCCCCGGGGTGCTCCAGAGCCTGATGTCACTGACTCTCAAAGGAATTAAAGGATGCATCAACATGGTAGACGACATTCTGGTGTTTGGCAGAGACGGATCTAAACCCGACAGCAGACTCCAAGTTGCCCTCGAGAGGCTGCAGCAAGCGGGCGTTATGCTGAATGCCTCCAAGTGCCGCCTCGGGGTGTCGTCCCTTAAGTTCCTTGGTGTGGTGTTGAGCGCCAACGGCATAGCAGCGGACCCCGATAAGGTCCCCCGCTATCACGGGTATGCGATTTCCGACAGACATGCAAGGCCTGCAGCGTCTCCTGGAAATGCTGAACCACATCGGACATTTCTTGCTGAGCCTCTCCGCCGCCACTGCGCCAATCAGGCTCGTTCTGAACGAGGACACGGTCTGGACCTGGGGGGACTAGTCAAGCTTCAGCCTTTCACTTGCTGAAGAAGATGGTGGCATTGAGCTCCTGCGTGGCTCGATAGAACCCACAGTATCCCACAACCGTTTCTGCAGGCATCAACTCGTACGGCCTGGGTGCGGTCCTGCAGGAGCAACAATCTGGCGAGCGAGGAGCACATGGGTGTACCAACCGGGGGGCAAGGGGGGTGCTTGCCCCCCCCCCCCCCCCCAGTCCTCACAGTGGGGGGGGAAGGGTGGGCAAGGCATGTGTTTTGCCCCCCTCTGAAACAGCCGTCACTGGGCAGTGCACACTGGCCGGCGGCGCCCAAGGGATACCAAGGGCACCGCCACCCCCCCCCCCGGGGGGAGGGGGGGTCTGGTTTGCCCCCTACTTAAAAACAAGTTGGTATGTCACTGGAGGAGCAGTTCCTTTTGCGTCGCGAACAATGGCTAGTGCCGAACGGCGCTACAGCCAAATTGTGAAGAAAGTACTGGGTGTCTCGTGGGCTGTCCAGAGGTTCGAGGAGTTCCTGCACGATTCGAGCTTTGTTGTTGAAACCAACCTGGGCTCTGCCGATCTAGACCTCATGCCTCATCGCGTCCAGTGGCTCTGCATCTAGCTGTTGCACCACCAGTTTATGGTGCAGCACGTTCCTGGCAAGTACTTCACCACTGCCAACATGTTGTTTAGAGACACCGAGGGCCTCGTTCCATCTATGTCTACTGCGGCCAGTGTCGAACTCTTCATGTCACAGATTGTGACTGCAAGCCACTCTAAGAAAAAGGGGAGAAAAAAGATAGCAACAGCGTCTTTCCTCCATTTCACTGACGTGTCTCCATACATATCCGAGAAGCAGGGAGAAACGAGATGTGTTCCTTCTGAGGCTGAGTGGAGGAAATTGATTGCATCTAATTTTCATGAGCTGCTCTAGGCTTTGTGACTTCTTTATTAGTTTCTTTCAGACACGCTGCACGCGCACTTTGATAAGCAGTATTTGTGCACCCACGCATGTCCACGCAGTACGATAAGTTAACTGAAATTGTGAACCCATAGTATGGTTGAAAGTTATGTATACCAAGCACAGGCCGCCCATAGTATGTTCTCCGAAGAACGCAGAGCAGGATGCTGGTTTCTACCCTTCAGTTTGTCAAATAAGTAAACAAAGCCGTCATAAACTGCTTAGTTCCAAAATGGTGCTACGTACGCCGGGCATGGTGGATGCGCAAGAGTCGCTTTTGTCTGCTGAGCCTATTTGAGCATCACGACGGTGAGCCCATGATAATGGCAACCGTGACATTCACCGTTGCAGCGACTCTCCTGCCTTTTACTAGTTTGTGGGTCTACCCTACTATGTTCTTACCAAGTGTGTCGACCGACGATCGCCTTGTGTTCCTTTTTTATGCCCATAACCGACATTGCTATGGCAGTACTGCCTGTTGCGAAAATGGTCAAGACCCAAGACGCAAACCGTCGCCAATGACACCATGCGTTCCATTTTCAACTGATATATAATTATCGTCTTGGTGGTTCGGCTCCCACCAATATCGCAATGGCAGTGCTCTCTACTGTGAAAGTGGTTGTGAACAAACACGCCAACAGTTGCTGAGCTCACCTTTTGTGCCCAAGTGACCTAGATAATACAGTTACTGGCTTCCGCTGCCCGGGAAGTCTTTCCCTTTCCATTGCAAGGAAGTCGATATCCCCGTCATCTCAGCTGGTGTTCTCGCAGCTGCCACAGTGTGGTGAATATTTCCAGCGCTTTGGACGGGGTAGGTGCTTAACATAAGATCAGAATTCCCAAGTTTTGGAAATTTTAATTGTGGGCACTTGTCTGGTATTGTACAGTATTAATAAAATCAGAGTAAAAACGCAAGCGAGCTGATGCACATCTGTATTGAGAAACCTCGAGACTAGGAACAGAGAGGACAAGGACAACACCATCTCAAAACCAGCACAGAAAGTATTTAATTTCAGGACCATCTTTTTTGTTTTCTTTGCACAGCATGAAACACATGAAACAAATCTCCACATAACCTGCACTTTCAGACTGTTTTTAAGCCCATGTTTGAGTGCTCGAGACTTTCACGATGTAGATTGTGCAGCTGACGTGGAGATTTGTTTCATGTGTTTTGTGCTATGCAAAGGAATATTGTCCTGAAGTTAAATCATCTCTGTGCTGGTTTTGAGATGGTGTTGTCCTTGTCCTCTCTGTTCCTATTCGCAAGGTTTTTCAATATATATTTATTGATATTCTTAAAACTGGCACAGTCAGATTTGTCTCCTTCATACCTTCTTCACACACATTTTTAAAGATTTATTTTCCTTATCATATTGCAAAATAAGGCAAATCTCAGGATATTTTTGGAAAACAACCTTTCAGAGCAGGATCTCCTTTCTTTTTTTCGATTGATTTCTCGTTGGCATTGCCAGGCAGGGAGGCAGAAACAAAAGGCATTGCTTCCTGGCAGAGTTCCTACTCCCCTACAGTTCAAAGTAGAACATGAATATGCACCAAGATTGTAAAAGCATTTTTAACACTTTACAAAAATTGCAGGAGTAGGTTTTCTCTAGCAAGTTTGAAAAAGATGACGAAAGCAAGAATTGGTGCACCAACAAAATTAAAAACTGACTCAAGCATGCTAGGACAAATTCAAATACAAAAAAAAGCCTTAAACATGAAGAATGGACAAAAAAGCACAAGAAATATAATAAAAGCAAAATGACCACACACTCGAAAAATGTTCAAGATGACACGGTTAACCGTGATGTAACGATAGCACTAATAAAAAAACTTTCCAAGTTCACTAAAAAACAGATGCATACGAAAAAAGAAATGTAAATCATAATTCAGCTTCAGTTTGCTCTAGTTTGTTTGTATGTTCAGTTTTCTTGTGTTGCGCCGGGATGTATCCCCTTGTGTTGTGGTGTTAATTAAGCTTGCAATATTGCGAAGTGAGGCACAACTTCGTAAATTGTGCCAGAGTTGTACAGGTCAAGTGAGCACAAGTCGAACTCGTTGCCTGGTGTCACTGCCGCAATGTCGTTGCATTTTTCCACAATGTACGAGCACCTGTGATTGCTGTAGCACACAGTTTTCAGACGTCGGCAAAGGAGGATCAATAATCCGCAAACCACCAGCAGCATTTCGACTTGGAGGAAGATTGGTGTGTCGTTCTGCATATTGAAGATGATCACATCTCCCAGTCGGTATGTACGACTGTTTGCTCTGGCAGTCTTCACAGAGAAAAGGGTAGCTTCTGGTGTGATGACGCAGACAACGGCTTGCTCTTCTTGTGAAAGGCTGGTTAACTTCACCACAACAGAGCCAGTCGTTTCAATGCATCCTTCGAAAAGCTTTCCCGAGAGCTCGTAGGCTTGCAACAGCTGATAGCGTGTGCTTAGTGTTCGGCAGATGTTGCGAAAGATTCGCACATTTGAAGCAATAGTCTTGAAGTAGGCATATTTAGCCTCGAAGCGCATTCCCCAGTACCTACGTGGTGGGCCAAACCTCTGTATGAAGCCTGGGTAATGGAGCAAGTAGTGCAACTTTGCTATCACTGGTGCAGATGGGTACAGCAATGTGCATGCTTCCAAAAACTCTTGGATCTTGATCTGGAGATAGGAAATGCAGTCTCTTGGAGTCCTCTCTGCTAGGATAATGTCGATGCAATGTCTGTAGGCCACGTAGACTAACCAATGTGGGTTATCGGAAGGCACAGTATCTCCAAACATCTGCGGGAGGAGCTTGAATAAGCACCACTTTTGGCTTGCTGTGCCACGCAGGTTCGCTTTTCCTTGCAGAAACTTCTCTTTGGGTGCAACAGGGGCAGCCTTCTTGTCGTGAAATCCATAACTGAAGCTATTCACCTTGTCCATATCGGACTTTTGAAGCATGCCATCTTCTACTAGACCATGCGGGACACTCTGCATGACGACGCCCATTCCTCCTTCCAAGATATCATGCATTGCGTCCGGGGGGGGTTGTGATGTAATGTCAAACTCTGCGATGCTTTGGAGTGGAGGAATGGCAGAGATGCCATACAATGGGCCATTTTGGGCTGGATTCAAAGCGAATGCTTTCAGGTGGCTTTCATGTCCTGCGCGTGTTCTCATCGTGCAATCTGCCTCGGAGAAAAGCTTGTCCAGATACCCCTAGCGACCAAGGCAGAAACGACATATGCGGCCGCTACAAAAGCAGCACTAGAGGCCAGCCACCTTGTGCATAGAAAGGTTGTCCCCAGTGAATGCTACTGTCACCACATTAAAGTGCTTCCCTTGTGCATGCATGCCATGCTCATGGACATGATTCAAGTCCTGGATAAGGGGAGCAAGAACTCGATGCAAGCCATACATTTTGACCATTGGGTACCTGACAAGCAGCAGGAAGTGCACGACACTCAACTTTGACCGGTGCCTTGGATGAATGTTGATCAGCGAGAAGTAGTCCACAAGGATCTTGTGAGACCCTGCTGCCGCACCCAGAGGATTGCTCAGCTCAAGCTCATCTGAATAAAGGAGGAGGAAGATGGTCGGTGTCTCACTGTCCTTTTGGCGCAACAGCTGTTGGCTGAGGAAGTCTCCATCAGTAATGTCTTGAAGGACTTTGGACTGATGTATGGGCTGCATGACACTTTCAAGGATCTCAGTGGATGACAGGAGATTTCCCAGTAGTGGCGATAGAGGTACATAGAACACCAACTCTTGCAGTGCTTGGTTGCCCGTCTGAAGTGGCATCACCAGAACGTCTGTGTAGGAGAGGTTCTCCATCACATATTTCTTCCTCAGGTAGGTGGTCTGTATCCCTGAAAATATGTCCTCAACAACATGTTCAGCATGTTGGAGTGAGGACAACTTCTCTCTCACTGACATAGCAACATTCTCCTTCTCGAGGATATCTTGAGTTTGTTCCGTGATACTTTCAAGGACTTCAGACACCACATTTCGTATAACACTCAGGATTTCATCAGCAGTGCTGTGTGCTAGCTTCAGCTCCTCGGTAATCCTAAGGTGGAATAACAACAGCCGCTTTCGAAAAGCACTTCTCCTGTCTTCCCTTGGTGCTTCAGAGGATGGCTCTTGTGATGATGTACTTGGCGAGTCTAAGCTCTCATGTTCAGTTTCTTTGTCAGGTTCATCGGCTGCCTTTTGGAGTCTGGCTTCTGTTGAAACCGTTGCCATGGCAGCATTGTGTTTGCGATAGACATGTGTTCTGTACGAATTATAAAGTCTAAAAGATGCGGCACAGCCGCCGATCCCACAAACCACTCGAAAATTGGTCTCGCAGCTGTGCTTAACCATGTGGTTCACAACGCGTTTGATGGACGTCGCCGTGTATACACATCTTGGGCAGCCTACAAGATCCCGAGGCATTGCGCTTGCCTCTTGTTTCCCCACTGGTGAAAATACTGATGATGCAACAGTCAAGGCATCATGCCGTTTCACGCACTTGTCACTGACCTTGCATCTTCTCCATTGGGCTGCTGGGGTCCAAGGCAGAATCTCTTCTTTACAGACATAACGTTTTGCACGAGAAACTTTATGGAGAATGTTCCTTTTTTTGTCACACTGCCCTTGGCGGAGACTCGGTTTCGATTGTAGCGCTAATACCACGGGGCGTATCGCGCGCGACGCGCGACCGTGCCGTGGACGGAAATGCAGCACCGGGGGAGGGAGAAAGCGAAAAGCACTATGAAGGCGGGGAAGAAAAAAAGGGTAAAGGCAGTGAGAAGTGGTTTCTCTTCTCCACTCCAAGCTTCCTAGTGCTTGCCCTTTCCCCTTCGCCCGACGATGTCTTTGCGTCCTCTGTATGGTTTTAATCAGACAGGGTGTAGTTTCGCATTACCATCTCCACTCTAAAGTGAATACATATGGTTCTTCGAATACCCATTGCAGAAGAAAACACTATGTATGATCGGCATGCTCCACACCGTTCAGATTATGTACCACAGTTTGAGGCGCGCCAGCGAAGCCGCAAACAGAACAAGAAGTGACTCCCAGCGCAGTTATGCACAGGTAGAAATCGGGCTTCGGGGGGAATTCGCTGTTGCGTCAAGTTGCTGCGCTGTTCTCTATAAATGAAATCGTTTTTAACTCAGATAACGTGTTAATTGGAAATAAATGTTTTAGAGCGCAGCTCTTGGGGGCCCGTTTCCAGTCTGAGCGGCGTCGGCGTCGGCGTCGCCGTCGACGTCGGCGTAACCGGGGGGGGGGGGGGGGGGGTCACGGGACCTCCCCCGTGACCCCCCCTCCCCCGAGATCACGTGACCCCCCGTGGTCACGTGACCACCCGCAGGTGACGTGACCCCCCTCAGTACCCTTCCCTACTCCTCCTCAAGAGCTGCGCTCCAATTCGGCGTTACAGGGATTTTTAAACGGCTTTCATTTTTATACTAATGATCGGCGCAATTAAGTTTTTGAATGGCTCTGTCATTTCAGTTTATTGAGACAGGGAAGCCTGTGACACTAATATTATATCACGAAACAGTAATAACTTAAAAAAGAGGAACGAAATTGAAATGTATATATATATATGTGTGTGTGTGCGTGCGCTAGTATAACCGTATTACGCTTGTTCGCACACACGATTTTTGCGACCCCGCGCCATTTTCGTCGTGTGCTTGGAGACGTGAGACGCAAGTTCCGCGCGCATTTAAACCGCTCAACTTTTATTTAGATCCACCTGCGGCTTAATATTGAGTCCCGATTATTTTCATAAAACGTATGATTGGTCCCTCGCTTTTAGAAAACAGAATGTTACGGTGTGTAGCCTGCTACGAAAAGTTTTGTCGCCCTTTAAGATTGCCTCCAAACGCAAGCGAAACTTATGTGAGACACGCTTTCCTCATCAAGTTCCCGGAGATTATTTCGGGCCTGGAGAATGTTCTGATTCAGGTGCGTATAACGGTATTGTATGATAATATTTTTGCGTACGCATAACATTGTTATCATGCTTTGCGCATTCTATGTGAACCACATAGTATCTAAAATGAGCCGAAAGAAAATCAACGACGTCACGTAGGAAATGCAACTTTCCTCAATTGTGTTTCTTACTGGCGCATCTTCCTAGCTTTAAAAATTCAAAACTCGACTCCTAGTTCAAAAAAAAAAAAAAAATAATCGGACTTTCAGTCCCATGCGGTAACATTATGGGGCTAACCCCCCATAACGGGGGTTAGCCCCATAATGGGGGGTTAGCCCCATAATGACCGAAAAAATCCGCCTGGTGTCGAACCCAGGACCTCTCCATGACAGATGGAGCGCTCTACCAACTGAGCTAACCAGGGGTTAGACGTCAGTAGAGCAAACCGGTTTTATCAGCTGCCACCAGTCTAACACCAACAAGGGAGAAGTTTGCAAATTTAAGGTTATAATTATAATGCAATTAAATGCCAAAGTGCAAGCGAGCTGGACAAAAATGACTAAAATATTCCATGGAAAAGGGGAATAAGAGGGACAAAGAGCGCTCCGCCTGTAATGGAGAGGTCTCGGGTTCGACACCCGGATTAGGCGGATTTTTCTCGGTCGCTCACCAGTCACCCAACTGTGTTTGGAGATTTGCGCTTGTCCTTTGTCCCTCTTGTTCCCCTTCTCCAGGGAATATTTTCGTCTTTCACCATTTAGTTCTGCAAATTTTCGTCAACATCCTTTTTTTTTTCAGTGTTGATTTTGTAAAAGAAATGTCGTAAATATCGCCAAATACCTGGACAAAACAAAATGTTTGAGAAAAAAAAAGTAGGCTTACACCGCAGATCAAACCTGCGTCCACTTGCGTATGACGCAGACACCTTACCACTATGCTATGCCACCGCTTAGCAAACTCGTAACCATTCTCTTTATACGAGTTTTGCGTAGTGCGTATAGTCCTTTCCGGCCGAAATGCACGACAGAGCGCGTATATATAGCTTTACACTTTTTTTTATGACCGTCTGTTCGTGGCCATGCAAGTTCAAAAAGAAAAACACCTGTTGTGCAACCACCTGCTGCACATCCACATCTTGGGTTGCACAATGACCTATTCAACAACCACCTGTGTTGGGTTGCATAATGACCTATTGAACAACCACCTGTCATAAAACCACCTTGCATAACCGCTACTTGGACAACCACCTAACCATGTGGTGCATCACCACCTGTTGGACAACCAGCTGTTGTGCAACCACATGTTGCCATCTGTTGCACCACTTGTTGCAATAGCGGTGCATATATACCGGTTACCCCTCACCCATGCATAGGGCGCACTATGGCCTATGTTGCTGCTGCGCCAGAAAACTCGAAACTCATCACCCATCCGTACAATCTAAAAGAATTAATATCAATTGCTGTCGCATTTGCACTACTTTGCGTTTAGGCAGAGAGTGCTGTCAGCTTTTCTTTTTCTTTTTTGCTTTTTATATAATCTTAATGGAAAAAATGTGACCAGTAAAGGACATATTTTAGGATGGTAACTTACTTATATGTCAAGTCGCTGATTTTTGCGGCCCATTCTAGTGTGGAGTCTAATCTAGTTAAATCATATGTATATGGGAATCAAACTGTCTGCTGTGTAATGTAGCAGTAGTGAGTGGCTGCACAACAGTGAGAGAGAATAGGAAGCATAAATCTTGCCATAATGTACTTGCCAGGGAATGACAAAAATGCTTCTGTGTTTCAAATATTAAGCCATGGAGTGGAAGGTCCACTGCAGCACTTACGAGGCGCATCACATGAGGATGCTTATAGGTGTCCACAAGTAGTTCTTTAATTTAAGTAGTGTTCTTTTTTTTTAAAGTGTCGCTTAGAGAAGATAGGAAGATACATACAAACAATTTTTTTCTTACGAACATCAAAACTGTTTGTTGATCACATATACACTAATCATATATGATTGTCCTTTGCAATGTTTTCAGGTCTATGATGCCCAGCTTGATTCGTACCTTGACTGGGATGAGGAAAGTGTTCTCTCTGTGGGATCAAAAATTAGAGCTATC